GCCCAGGAAAGAGAGTGACATAGAATATGATTGTTGTGATTCCCCCACTCCCCTTTCCTGGACCCCAAACCGTTACGCACATCAATTCTCTGTATGTTTATATGCCAATTTACTGTCACCTTGGACGAGTTATTGTGATGAAAGGCCAGATTAATCGCGGGAATTTTCATTTGGGTAAACGTGTGCTCAACAGTTGAACCTTCCCTGTATTGTTAGCAGGTGCTTTAGAAATTTAGAAATCTAAAATGTCAAGGAATGAATGCATTGTGTATTAGTTTAAGTCCAATCAGTGTGTTTTTTTCGTTCGTTTTTTGTTCTCATTGTGTATTCTTTTTTATATGGCGGAAATAACTATTACAAAAATGAGTGAGTTACTATCTACTTTGCATTCCTCTCAGAATTTCCTATTTTCGGTGGATTAGCATATGTTTTGCCTTGCTTTTTACAAAGAACAAGGGATGTACATCTATTATGAACCTTAATATGACGAATACGTGTGCAATTGAATGCTCAGTGTAACAACAAGAAATACTGAATCAAAGAAAGGTTACTCCTTTGTATAATTAACGTTAAAAGTCATTATTCATTGATAATAAGGGTGGATATCCTGTATGATTTTTAACATGAAAAGATAATCACATTTAAAAAGCTGAAAATTTCAGAGGAAAACGCTTAAGTAGAATCTAGTGACACGTTTTGCGTCATGTTCACCATTTTACTGGCACATGCATGCATGCGTACGCCTAGTTTTTTAAATAAAACTGCGGAATGAACATTCATGTCATGTCTCCCAACTTATAAGAGATAAGGGGGTTCAGAAGAAGTTAAACTTTGAATATTGATTGCGATTCACTATATGTCCTACCGGAGGGGAACTTTTGACAAAGTTGGGCTGGAATATATGAAAACTTCAACTTTTTTTGGACCAATTTTTCTTCTTCAGACGAATGATTTAAGTATTTTTCAATATAAATATCAGTTTCAATCTCTAAGTTTTTTAATCATCCTCCCTTGGGATTAAAAGCTTTTAAAAGTATGATATGAGCCAAGAACTTCAACGAAACATGAACCGGGGAAATGCTAGAGCCCTGTATGATCGAACCACGTGTCAATGCTCTAGGGAAACACATGAAAGGTGACCGACACTCCAATTAGACAAGTAGGGTATCATGGTTAATGGGTGTCATAGGTTGCCCTCATTCGCACCCCTTTCTTTAGGTATATTTGGGGTTTATTGAAAGATCACGAGCAGAATTGCAATCACCGGCTCAGCTCGTGTGGTAGGGCTTACAAACCGAGTTAATGCTCGCCTTGTAGCGTTCTCAATATGACGTTTTTTTCGGTCCAGGAAGTCATCTGAAGTTAATCATGCGAAGGGAATACTGAACGAGATCTTTAAGACATTTGACCCCTCTTTCATTTGAAGAGTAACCTATTTTTGAAATACCCTAGCCCAATTATGATAATCTCTTTTGGAAGGTAAAGGGCAAATGATGCTATGAATAAAATATATGCATCTGGGTCAAGTAATAATGGAAACTGTCAAAAAATTATTTAAAAGGAGGTTTATTTTTTTCTGGAAGTAAGAAAATAAGGTTTTTAATGATCATGTACACGCACATGTATGTACTAAACTGCTTTAGGTTGATGCGAAAAAGCACTAGACATACTTCAAATTTGATCAGAAGGGCTATCAACCTGCTTCCATAATTTCTTTCATTCCAATCATTTTACCTCAAGAACAGATTCATTAAACGCTCTCGATTCAATCAGCTGTGTCCCAAATCACACCGAAACAGGTTGTCCTCTGAAGCACAAGATTCGCTTCAATTTTTTTCTTGAAGGAATCTGGAAAGAGCACAAAAATAGGAAGTCAAGTGTGAAACGGTTAATGTCAAATTACTCCGCTAAACTCGACAGCCCAAATTTGATTTTGGCTTGCTTGCGTCATAGATCTGAGCGATCTGCCTAGTAACGGAACCAGTGTGCCTAGATACGGGAGAGCTACTCATAAAATTAGAGGTCAAGTGAACATTTAAAACTGGTTCAAAGACTACGAATTTCATAATGTACCCCTTACTTCTTTTCTCTGATCTAATACAAAGATATTTGTTTAACCTTTTTATATGTATTCATTTTGTACGCAACAGATTTCTGCCTACACCACTGGTTATTCCACGTTTTAAACACACACTACATGCAACGTTTATTAAAGTATATTATTTTTCTTCATCTTATCATGTCGTTCAACTATGAATTCTTTTTAGTTTCTTGTATATATGTATTTATGTACAGATGTGCGACTATTTTTTTCTTCAAAACATACCCATTCACCCACCCACATACAATATGCATAAATAAATAAAAATAGTTATGCATACTGTATATACAGTTAACAATGAAACTCTTGATACCCTTACCAAGTTTGTTATATTTCAAGTTACTATATGAACTTTTTGATTTGTCACGATTTATGTTTTGTGAGAATGTGACATTAATGAATGTACATCTAACAGTATTTAGCAAAGGCAATAATTCAACATTTCCACCTTTCATTCTTGAGTTACGAAACACACACAAAACATAAAATTTACAAGGGGTATGAATAATTCAGTTTTAAACGGTATACATATATACGGTATTATATACAAACATAATTATAGTGTTGAGCCAATATGCTTTCTCGTCCATGAGGTACCAGAAATCCAACCTTGCTCCTTCTCGGAAAATGCACCCTTTTCACGCAGGTGAATCCTGAGTATTAATTGTCAGCAGAGTAGAAAGAGGGACCTTGGTTAATGGTTGCATGGAAACAAGCAATTCCATTGACTTTCACTCGCTATTAATAGGCTGCAAACATTCAACATTGTAGTGATTGATACTATGTCGAAGGTAACGGGAAGTGCATATTCAAAGAAGTACATTTTATTCGTGCGAACCTTTTATTTGTATAATACCGTTATAACAAATTATGAAATGGACCGTTACTGATGATTTCCCAGTGCGTGCATGAATGCGTGGACATTTTGTCTAAGTGTTGTGATTTTTTTCTGCTGGTCTTTTTTCCTGCACATTTTCAAACATGAGGGTCATAATGATGGACAGCATACTATACTTACACATGTGGTGTTATATGTTGACACGAATAAGTGGACTTTTGACATGGTGCTCTTATGTTCTATTCCACTGTTTGCAGTGCTCCTTTTATAATATACGCCCAACTCGATTGAGGAAACGCTTTATGTATAATTATTATGCTACGTTTATATGCCACAACTCAAGTTTAAATCAATATGCTTCCCCCAACCTATCGTATTCTGAATCGGAATCCGGCACTATCCTTTTTGTGTGGGCCAGAGCCATTATACCCCCACCCCCCTTCCCAACCTATCTCTTCTCTCACTCCTTTTAGTTGTGTTTTTTATATCATACTTCCTCTCCCCTCTTATTAAATGTCTTAATTTCTTTGTCTTCTTAAGTATATTCCATCCAAAATTTGTAGAATTTGTAGAAATCATCTGCCAGTTCTGCCCGAGATGACAAGAAAATTTGTGCGACATTATTTTGTACAACGACCGTTGTAGAATCTTACTACGATTTACTTCCGCAATGAGAAACAACAACAAACGCATCGAAACACACACGCGTTCACATCTACTGCCCGCTATCATGGCGGAAAGGGTTTTGTCTCTAGCCTTTGTTCACATGATGGCCCATGATAAGTTGGCGCCTGGATGCCAAGGTTTCGAGTCTCTCACTTAACCTTATACTCATGATTGACAAACAGTACACGTCATTCTTTAAATTTTCGTTTGTTTTCCTACGATCCAATCATGATAACAAATTCACCAATATAGTGCAAAGGAGTGTCGGTGCGTGGTTCTCAATTTACCATCGTATTGTGCATGGTATTTCATACATTAAAAATAGTATTCTATTTTAAACCTTATCTATGTGATAATCGAATCATTTAAATGTTCAAATGGTTTGCGAAGATGGAAAATGAAAAAAAAGTCATTAAAATTAATCATTCATGTCTCTCGAAGGTATACGTTTTAACATTTTTGCGTGCATCAACTTTTCACATTGATAACTTTGTAGGTCCGTATACACTTGTACCTTGATAGCAGATCTATTTTCTATTAGCTCGAGATATACGAAGAAATAGAATTTATAAGGCATTTTTTTGCGGAGAGGGGGGCTATGATAGTGTTTTTGTTAATAGATTAAAAAATAACAGTACACTGTGTTGTTGTACACATTTTCACCAGGTCGGGGAATTTAAAATGCGTCTTACCTATAGGTAAGGCTATAGGCTATAGCCTTAAGATATTGTCAACTTGTACATCTTCTTTGTTAGTACAGTGTAATTTAAAGGCCTTCAGTCGTGGTGGTTGCGATATAATAATCTGGAGTTAATTTAGAACACGGAGAAGGGAAAAAATCGAATCAAAATGTTATGGGTACGAGATCATTTGAAAATGATTTCATAAACTTTCTCTGATATCGATTTAAAGACAGACCAATATTTTCTCGGAACGATTGAGGCTTAGAAAAACAATTGAGAGCTAATAGAGATAAGGTGATGCAATGTTTTTTTTTATGAAAAGGTGCTTCCTATTTGTACTTGGATCATTAACATCGTGCTTCGCGTTGGCACTAGCGAAACCCTTAACTTAATTGCAAAATTTGATTTTCCCAGCTCGCATTAACGATTTGTTTTATTTGTATGACGTCACTAGCGTACAGGTGTCAGAAGTATTATAACTACCTTCATCCCACTTGATGCTTAAATCACGTGCGATCAATGATGCCAGATTGTGAGATTCAATTAACACCTGTTCTTAACCCTCTTTCGCTTCAAATGAAGCCATAAGGGGGTATACTTAATCTTCGAGAGAAATTTGGATACCAATGTCTCCATAAGGACTACGAAATCTTAATTGCATGTTAGGAATGAACTTTGTTCCCACTTTGTTTGAGTGGGAGAGATCTATATTGACTTGGAATCTGCTTTCTATAGCGGGTTCTGGTGTTGTGCATCTGAACAAAGAGTTTCAATACTGTTATGTATGAATGAATGTATTACTATGGCGACCTTTATTTACCATAAAGGCGTTTGCTCTGCTTTGCTTAACGTTACGGAAATGATTTGCAGGAATTTCTTCCTAGTTGCATGTTGGTATCATTGCAAACAATTACTTATTCCAGTCTAGACTGCTGCGACAAGCTTGGTGCTAAACGTCAGTGTTCAAATTGACAGATTGACAATATGCGGTGTTGAGGTGTTTCTATAATCGCTATTTAATTGATGATTCCCTGACTCACGATGTCTGCTTCATCCACAATCTAGAAACACGAAGATATTTTAAAGGTAAGTGATAGAGCATAATATAGAATGTCGATGTTTTAGGGGTAACATGATAATGATGACATTTATATATTTTTTTTTACTCTTTACGATATTTTACTAGAAAGAAATGTTAATAATTTTTTAAAGGCTAATCATACATCCTTGATATAGTGATTCCATTCCAATTTAATAACCAATCTTCATTTCTAAATACCACCTTAAGGTGTAAACTACCGGTGTTCCTTTGTTCCTAAAAGATCATGCATTTTGAAAGGGACAACTTTGTGATATTAAGTGATTCTGCGAATGTTTTCATCATATTGGCTTGGTTTATTTACTACCACATTCGTCTTTATGATACGTTGATATTAGACGAAATGAACAACATATCATGTACTTCCATGGTATAAAGTACGCTGCCCTTGTTGTTCAAAATGGATTTGAGGGCTTGCAAATCCTCTGAAAGTATGTCACGGTCAAACATTTAAGAGCTTCACTTTCCTCCTTTAAGCTGTTCCATCCTTACCGTTTTATCGGGCACGCAGATGATAGGAATAGTAATCTGCACGTAGCCAATGGCGCTTTTTTCCCACGTAAAAGCTATCTACCCGCTCACACCAATCTCGTCTGCATTTCCTTTTTTCTTCACGCTCTTGTTTATGATCCTAAATCCGGTCCGCTGAGGTGTATTCCGACTGTCCCGAGTTTGTCAGAGCATGTATACCATTTGTTGGTTCGAAGGATACCAGTATAATGAAATGTGTACAGCATCTTGCAGTGCGCAGTATTCAAGATGCATTCAGTGAAGGTGGTCGAATGCGTACGTGCTCTTTCCATTTAAATCAATTGTCGCGGTCCACCTCTGTGTGAAATATTGCAATTTTAACCTTAATTAAGGTTTAGAGAAAAAAGGTCACAAGTACCTATTTATACTGTGATCTTTTCATCAAATTTGTCGAAGTAGGTTATAGGTAACTTGCCTTTGACAGTTCTTCTTCCGTCGGAAAAGTTTCAATTTCAGGCCTTTCAGGAAGTGAGGTGTTTTTATTCGGTTTTAAGGTTTCTTTTCGTTGTAATAAAGGCCTAGGCCTATATTTTGGGTGACTAGAAAGTGTTATTTTGATAGAATAGCATTTACTATTTTAGTTCAAACATTAGCTACTTACTAAGCTTCATTATTACAAGTATTGCGATGTGCAAGTATTATTTAGTAGTAGTGCCAGTGTCTCTTTGATGTGGCACATTAGGTAAACATATTTGATCCAATTCAGTTCTATAATACATTCACAGACCAGGAGGACAGGAAACAAAATCATGTTGCAATCATAGAGCGATTTATGTGGCACCAATATTACTAAGGGAATGATAAATACTTGTTATAACATTTAATGTTTCTTCAGTTAATGATTTACTGCAGTGTGTACACATTGTGATCATTAAAATGAAATGTGTATGCCCCTCAACATCTGAGCAGTCAGTTTCAATGTAAAATATGGACTAATTTAATGTTCATTTCCATCGTACTGCGGTATCGAATAATCGGCTTTCTAGGGTGTTCAAATTAAAAAGCTGAAGTAACTTATTTCGAAGACAACAATACATTATTGTTTTAAATATAAAAAACACTCAAGAGAATGCTTGGAAGGCGAACTGCATTGAACATATTTTATTAAGAGCTCAAAACAGTCTGTAATGCTATGTAGATGGATTCAACATTTGTTGACATGTATGATATCCAGATAATTTGTCGAATTTCCCATCTGTATGTGGTGAGTCCATGAGACAAGCGACATGATTATAACTCTGTGTATTCGTAATGTGATTAGAGGTTGTCATAAGGTATTGTATTTGCTAGCGTTGATGATCAATGCCTTGTCTATGATTTTCCACCCCCTTATTTTTTGCCATTTCGAAACGGGGGCCGGGGAGGATGAGCAACTGCCCCAATAGTAGATTTATTGAGACTTTGTTTACACAATTAATGTTTGAAATATGAGTCTGTTTGTTTAAATCATAGGAATCTTCGCCTGGACTTCCCCCAAACAGTAATGTCCTCATGCACCCCCAATTACTACAATGAGAACTCGTGTCTCTCCCTTATATGAAAACCTGGCTGCATATGCCTTCCTGTTCGTTCCGCCATGCCATCTTCATTTTTTCCCTCTCTAAAATCTTGTTCCAATAATGCCTTCTCGGTAATGAGGTTATTAGTGGGTTAGGGCATACTCTTTGTCAGAAAATATAGTAAGTAGTGCTAGAACAACATAATTAGGATAACGGGGTTGATATCAAACGTGGAGAGAAGGGAAATTAATTTTGTTTTATAATCGAAGTCATCTTTAAAAATTAACACATCACATTTAGATATTATAACATTAATTAATATCATGGCCTATATCACTGCATTGATTGCGATCACACATGAAAATAGTTGTTCCAGCAACAATACATGTACCAGTCCATTTACATTACCATTAACCTTCAGCTTTAATTTATTTACTCTGTACAAAATATGTTGTTATATATACGTCGTTTGTGTGTTCATTTAAGAAAAAGTGTTATCCTTAAAGTGTAATGAATACAGTTGTAGGGAGAGGGTCCTTCCCCTTCCAAGTGGTCATTTAAAGACATTTTCGGCATATACATGTAAAATCTTGTACCTTCAAAATAATGTAGGTTTATTAATCGTGTTCCTTTTTCTGTAAATGTGCTTGACTTTCCAAACCCCACACAAACCAACGCCAATGATTCTTTCATTTGACCTCCGCCCCTGGTCCAATGCCCCCCCCCCCCCAAAAAAAAAAAAAAAAAAAAACAAGAGGAAAAAATCAAGGCAATTCATGTTGCCCGGTCCGTACATCCAAATACAATTTAATTCCATAATGCTGGCGAGTTGTGCATCGATACTGATAAAGCTTTCTGTGGATAAAACTGATGACATCCAATAATGCAGACCGACGTTTGGCGGACAGCCGCTTTTGTCATCTATTACATGTATTAGGTTATACAGTCTTTCTAATATCCACAGTGCGTTATGGCAATCATCATAAAATGAACGTCCCGTCTGTGAAGATTATGTCCTGAAAGGTTGTAATATGGATGTTCGACCCCCCCCCCCAATCTCACACAGACAAATTACAACTTACTCGGTCATCTATACCTGTTCTGGTATGTTTGTAACAGTATTGATGTTATTTTGATATCATATTTTAAACCCACTTTGTGAGAAGTTCGGAAGATTATTACCTAAATAATATTTTTTAGAAGTAGAAGTGGTATTAGTAGTAGGAGTAGTAGTAGCAGTAGTAGTAGTAGTAGTAGTAGTAGTAGAAGTAGTAGTAGTAATAGTAGTAGTAGTAGTAATAGTAGTAGCAGTTGTAGTAGTAGTAGCAGTAGTAGTAGTAATTGGCAACCTTTTCAGAAGTAGAAGTGGTATTAGTAGTAGGAGTAGTAGTAGTAGTAGTAGTTGTAGTAGTAGTAGTAGTAGTAGTAGTAGTAGTAGTAGTAGTTATAGTATTAGTAACATTATTAGTAGTAATTGGCAACCTTACAGGTGGAGTCAAATGCATCGAAGTTCATTGTTCCAAAATCAAATGCGAGGAACATTATTGCCTTACTAACTGCAAGCAATGCTTATCTTAAGTAAATTCATATCCACTCATACTAAGAGACTCTTTAAAGAACATACAACCATTGGAAGAAAAAAAAGATCAAGTGACAACCCCTAAAAGATATCGGTTAAAGTTCGTCGCCAACACGTCCTCGATCCTTTTAGAGCGTTTAGACTGTTCCTGGAAGGGAGGGAAATTAACAGCACACTTCGCTTGAGCATTAAATAATTTATATTGTCCTTGACTCAGCTACCCAAACACATTAAATGACGATAATGGCGAATGATGACACTTGTGAGGGCGAGCACAAATGACGAAGCATTGTGCATGTTACCTAGCAACAATTTTTTGACACGATATGGAGAAAATGTCCTTTTAATGTAAAATGCTGCTCTTGATATTACTACTGAGGTTCACTCTGTATAACTTGAGGAGCTTGGCATCCCTCCCTACCCTGCTATCCCATATCCCTACACCCCTTTTCCTGCTCATGCCATTGTGCCTGTATTGGTAATTACGCACTGGCCGAGGTTATATTACACTTAAATGAGTTCATTAGATGAGAGGGGATGGGTTCCTTTTATGTCGGCATTCCTCGTCATTACTTGATTCCAATCAACCTGAACACAATAATAGAGGCCATTATCAGTAGCCAGCCAGCCATGCACTTGAGGCATGCGCACGCAATGCAATGCCATGGGCTAACATTTACATATAGTGAATTACCTCAAATCTCGATCCGTCAATTTGTTTTTTAAAGCACAACGGGAAAGTTATTTTATGGACGTCACATTGTGCAAATTGTGATAAACACAATTCAGAATTTTTAAGAGGAACTTGAGCGATACCAAAGTGATTTCAAGAAAGTGATTTGTTTTGTTTTGCAATAGTTCATTCTCACAGCACCCTTTTCCCCCTTCTTTTTGGCATATGTGTATTTCTTGCCGTTCATAACCTCAATTACGAGCTCATTGACGATAAGCGCACATGCATTTTAACTTTTTTGAATTATGGAATTTGGAATTGGTGAATTTCAAATAATACCTATCACTTAAGGATTTACAGACCGGAATGTGATATGATTTAATCAGACTGATGAAATGATTTGATGCAGTACCGAGTACTGAACTGATAAAATAATTGAATTTGACTAGATAGTATATTAATTTACCCAAAATAGCAGAAGCAAAGGTAATAAACGTCATTCTCTGGCTCCTTAATGATGATTTTCAATTGTGTTTAATTATTGCCAGGTCCGTTCACAAAAACCGACGTCTTTTTACGGTACTACCAGTGTAAGTCTTCTTTAAGCCATTTAACTGTTGATTATCTTATTGAAATGTACAGTACACCATTCCTGTAAACACGAGACAAGCCCTTAATATAAAAACAGCAAATTCATTTAAGTGT